ACATTATGGTGTGGGGATTACACTTGTTTTCCAAATGTTAACATTTGAGAAATGCTCCAGAGCAACGGAGAAGAACTGTAAACCTTATCATACAGGTACAGTACAATGGCCTTCAACTGGTCTTTTATAGGCCACGATTAGAAAGTGTCGGTACTGTGATGACATGTGACAGGCCGCCCTCTAGTGGTTATAGCAGCACAGTGCTAGAACGCTTCTTTATGCCACTCAAAACATATGATGAATAATGACTGATTATCAGGCCCTTACATAGTTTAGTTTTGGATAAGAAAGATTAGTTCACCACTTTTGCAATAAAACTACACTACATGAAGATCAGAGTGTTATACTTGAATGGACAAAGTCAAATGTTGCAGCTGATTGGCTGATTGACCTGGGTCTGAACACATGCCTGTGTCACTGGATTCTGGACTTTCCTGACCAGCAGACCACAGCCTGCACACACAGGCAGACACTCTTTCACTGTCATAATATTAAACACTGCAGCACCACAGGCTGTGTGCTGAACCCTCTGTTATGATCCCTCTTCACACATGACTGCAAACCCATCCATGATAATCATAATGAAGTTCGGAGACGCTGTGACAGGCCTGATCTCAATCAACAGTGAGTCAGCCTATAGAGAGGAATTTGAGAACCCGAAGAGCTGGAACCTGGACAACAACCTCACCCTCAACCTGAAGTAAACCAAGGAGCTGATCCTGAACTTCAGGAGACTGACACACAAAGACCGCCATCCCATCAATATCAGCAGCGAGAAGGTGGAGTCCTTCCAGAAGTTCAGATTTCTTGGTGTCCGTATCAGCCAGGACCTATCCTGATCAACAAACACAACAACCATGGCCAAAAAAGGACTTTAGAGGCTTCACTTCCTGAGAAGCCTAAAGGAATCACAACTTCCACAACAGTTGATGGTCATCTTCTACAAGTGTGCCATAGAGTCCATCATCACCTACTGCATCATACTCAGGGAGCAGCTGAGAACAGGAAGGCCCTCCAGTGCATCATCATATACTGCATCACAGCATGGTACCCAGGCAGCACCTGAGAACAGGAAGGCAACTTCCCGAGAGCCCGTTCGATGAACGAATCGAACTTACGGGTTTTCGGACACTCGGACTCGGTCGGTGAATCAAACGAACGGTTCGCGAACCGATCCCAAGAGCCCCCGCGGCGTTTACTGCGGAAATGCAGTTACGCTGTTTAAAAGGAATAAAATAAACGCAGCTCTTCATCAATTATCACAACAGTAAATTATTGCATTTCTGTATAATAAAACTATATGTCTTTCATCAAAGAACAAAGATATTTATTAGCTTTGACGTTTACACAACAACGTATGCAAGTTTACTCATGCTCATTAATTAATTGCATGTGTCTGTGTGATTGTATTGGTAATATTGCAGTTGTTGTTAACTGTGATGTAGTCCTTGATACTCATGCACATGAATTTGGCTTAAGTAAAGAAAATAAGAACTATATATACACGCGTGTTTATTCAGCATCGACACCCTTTATGCTTTTTATATGTTGTTTTTTTTATTGTGAATAGTCAAGCTGAACATTTTTGTTGAACACCAGCGCTATCTTTCAGTCAAATAACGTAACCTTGAGACAGATTTATTATCCGATCCCATGATTCGTTGAGTCATATGGTCAGGCGCAAAAAAAGAGGAAAATAAAAGTGAATCATAGAATCGGTTTTAGAATCGATTCATTACAACGGACAGTTCGAAAGAATCGAATCAGTTAATTGAGAACTTCCCATCACTAATTTAAGTAGCGCATTTTAGAAATGTGCAGGTGCACGGCGCTCGTTATGGTTACAGGTATGTGCTCGAAGTGCATTAATGGTATTTTGTTATGTTATTTTATTTCATTTCATTTAAGCACACCATTGTGATAGCAATCTACCGTAGCTCATGCGACGCTGCCTTTTAATAATGAGGTGAAGTGTCATTCTGATTGGTTTATTGCATGTTACACCCAAAATGCACCTCTGAATAATTAAGAGAGTTAGGACATCCTTTTTGCACCTTGCGCTGGTGCAAAGTCTGGGTTTTCAGCCGTTAAAATAGCAAAATGGATTTGGACACCGCCATAAATGTTTGTTTTGTCTTGCTTTGCGTTAGATCGTCAAAATAGAGCCCAGTGTCTCCGATGAGTGATTAATGCTACATATTTGATAATGTCTTCAACAGGCAGAATTTTGGAACCAGCTAGTTAAAATGACAAGCAAAGAAAACAGATTTTTTTTTTCAGTCAGCGGAGTCATGAACGCTAGTTCTCACTAAACGATACTTGTTAATGTACCTGTTTCATTTGTCAGTCGGATCTCCATGGTGCCAGAACAAGGGGGCTCAGTGGGTAAAGCAACAGTGCCTGTGATTGAATGGTCGCTGCTTGAAGCCTGACCTCAGCAGACATGTTGGCCCTTGAGAAAGGCTGTTAACCCCCAGCTCCTTGGGCATCTCTACAAGTGGTTGTCAGTCTTGCTATGACCTATAGAGAGCAAGAAGAGAATTTTCCCAAGTAAAGTATAATTATTTCATTTCAAGCATCCCTGGATGTGTGGCTTTTGTCTGGCCGAAGGCAGCGTCTGAGTTCCCATTTCTTCCTCTCTTGATGCCTGTGATGCTGACAGATTCTTTACGCTGCTGTGTCCCATGTTCACTTAGTGCCAGTCAAAGTTGCCTTTGTCTAATGTGAAAGTATAAGATTGGCTTTTAAGAGCAAGTGCCCCTCCAGACAGTGAAGTAAAAACTGTTTCAACAATGTCATGGTGCAGGTCTAACACATGATGGCAGCAGAGAGGCATGACTCTGGAACAGCACCCAGTCGTCAGCCATACAACTTGTACTTGTTTAACTTAAATTAGCACCCCTATTAATACTGGCTTTCATGACTGGTATAAAGATACATGTAACCATATGTACATTGGTAGTGTTTTTTTGTACAATCTGTGTAAGTGACTTTATTTTTAAATATATCTTTGGCCTGGTTTAATGTTTTAAAGGGCTTTAGCCCTGTCTCATGCTTTGTTACTGTGTTCTGTAATGTTTGTTTCTTTGGAGCGGTGGATTTAATTAGGATTTTACATTAGCCATCCCATTTTTGGTTCTCCTGTGCCTGGGTCAACTCACTGTTTCACGATGAAGGTAAATATTGTGCATGTAAAACATGAGTAGAAGTGTTCTAGTCATATTAAAAAATATGGTTTTCTGATTGAAGTAACAGCATAAATGGACACACTGATTACATCTGTCAAATACCTTCTCCCTTTCATTTCATAAAACTTCAATTCTGTCCTGTGTGTGTTTTAGTAGTTACGGACATTATGTAAATGCTTACTATATAAGATCATTTCAGTTTTATTGAAGTGCTTAACCTCTTGTCACATCTGTATTGACCCGTGACATTTTTTGTATTATGGGTTAATGAATAAGGCTGTAAAAGCCATAAGTTGTTATT